TTGATCCAACCAGAGTAAAGAGGGGTCAAAGACAACTCAGAAAATTGTATAGATTTTAAGTCAGTTTCAAAGTTGTTTCTCTTGGCTGGGCACAGTGGCTCACGCCTGTAATCCTAGCATTTTGGGAGGCTGAGGCAGGCAGATCACTTCAGGTCAGAAGTTCGAGACCAACCTGGCCAACATGGGGAAACGCTTACTATTAAAAATATAAAAATTGGCCGGGCGCGGTAGTTCACGCCTGTAATCCCAGCACTTTGGGAGGCCAAGGCCGGTGGATCACGAGGTCAAGAGATAGAGACCATCCTGGTCAACATGGTGAAACCCCATCTCTACTAAAATACAAAAAATTAGCTGGGCATGGTGGCGCGTGCCTGTAATACCAGCTACTCAGGAGGCTGAGGCAGGAGAAGTGCCTGAACCCAGGAGGTGGAGGTTGCGGTGAGCCGAGATCGCGCCATTGCACTCCAGCCTGGGTAACAAGAGCGAAACTCCTTCTAAAAAAAAAATATATATATATATACGTATATATATATATATATATATACGTATATATATATATATATATATATATATAAATTAGCCTGGCATGGTGGCAGACACCTGTAATCCCAGCTACTCAGGAGGCTGAGGCAGGAGAATCACTTGAACCTGGGAGGTGGAGGTTGCACTCACCCCAGATCATGCCATTGCACTCCAGCCTGGGCAAGAGAGCGAGACTCTATCTCCAAAAGCAAAAAAAAATTATTCTCTCCACCACACCATTAAAGTCCAGCAAAATCAAGTCTGCCTGCCAAACAAGTTAATACCATGCTTCTAAGGTTAAGATCTGGTTCTGTGACAAATATAAACTGTATTGCTAAATTCTTAATAACGTAAGACACAAAGGGCTGCTATGAGGAGATTTAGCTTAACTGCTAAATTTAAAAACCCTACAAACTAATGAGCAATTCTAGGTATATGTTGCATAAATCTCACAGTGTTTCCATTTAGTCATGTTAAATGTCTAAGCAAATACTAAAAATTGAGCAAAGTAATTCAGTCTTTCACAATGCTTCCATTAGCAAAATAAAATTGAGGTGCCACCAAACAAAATTTTCTTGTAAATAATTAAGCAGATTAGGTTACCCATTAACTAGTATTCATCACTAAAACAGAGATTGGGCTAAAGGCCACGTTGAAATATCCTGAATTTTTTCCAAACCACCAAAACATTTTATCAATTCAGGTTCAGATCAGAAATACCTAGCTGACTTATAAAACACATATTGCGGCCAGGCGCGGTGGCTCATGCCTGTAATTCCAGCACTTTGGGAGGCCAAGGCAGGCAGATCACAAGGTCAGGAGTTTGAGACCAGCCTGACCAACATGGTGAAACCCTCTCTCTACCAAAAATACAGAAATTAGGTGTGGTGGTGGGTGCCTGTAATCCCAGCTACTCAGGAGGCTGAAGCTCAAGAATCGCTTAAACCCAGGAGGCGGAGGCTGCAGTGAGCTGAGGTCACGCCATTGCATACCAGCCTGGGCAACAGAGTAAGACTCTGCTCCAAAAAACAAAACAAAACAAAACGAAAACAGGACTGCATATTATTAGGCCTCCCCTCCCCCAGGGTTTCTGATTAAATAGCTCTGGGGTCAGTCTGTATGTCTAACAAGCTCTCAGGTACTGACAGCGTTGCTAGTCTATAGACCACACTTTGAGAACCACTGTATTACTTTACGTTAACTATGTTTAAAGGCATAGTAACCACCTAGATTATTTTAGCTGAAGACTATTTGATATACATCAGCAGACTTTTTCCAGTGTTTCTTTGTTGTTGCTGCTGTTGTTTTGAGACAGGGTCTCACTCTGTCACTCAGGCTGGAGTGCAGTGGTGTGACCTCAGCTCACTGAAACTTCCACCTTCTGGGTTCAAGCGATGTCTCAGCCTTCTGAGTAGCTGAGATTACAAGTGTGTGCCACCACACTCGGCTAGGTTTTGTATTTTTGGTAGAGATGGGGTTTCACCACGTTGTCCAGGTTGGTCTGGAACTTCAGGCCTCAAGCGATCTGCCTGCCTTGGCCTCCCAAAGGGCTGGAATTATAGGCATAAGCCATCGTGCCCGGCCTCTGTGGTTTTTAAAATTGGCTTCCCTAAAATGGGTATGTTTATTGTAATAAATTTATACTTCAATAAAATTGATTTTTTATAAAATGGCTTCTTGGCTGGGTACGATGGCTCAGGCCTGTAATCCCAGCACTTTGGGAGGCCAGGGTGGACAGATCACTTGAGGTCAGGAGTTCAAGACCAGCCTGGCCAACATGGCGAAACCTCATCTCTACTAAAAATACAAAAATTAACCAGATGTGGTGGTGCATGCCTGTAATCCCAGCTACTTGGGACTGGAGGCGGTGGCATGAGAATTACTCGAACTTGGGAGGCAGAGGTTGCAGTGAGCCAAGATCATGCCACTGCACTTCAGCCTGGGCAACAGAACAAGACTCCTCTCAAAAGAAAAAAAAGCAATGGAGTGGATTCACTGTTGGGCAAATAAAAAAGAGATCTTAATCTTTCCTCTTTGCTGGAAAAAAAAGGAAAAAAAAGAGATCTAGGCAGGATTCAAAACAATAATCACAGTCTGCCCCCATTTAAATTTTTTCTATATGTATAATCCTAAATACATATAGAAATATTCTGAAATTATACTTAAGAAATTACTAACAGTGATTATCTCCCAGGAAGAACACTGAAGTGGTCTTGGTTGTAAGGATCACTCACTTTTCACTTTATGTCTTTATGTAGCATTTGAAAATTTTATCATGGGATTATATTACTTCCAATAATGTTTTTAAAAATTGCTTTAATTAATTATTGTGATATTTATTGAGCTGAACTGTCTAAAAATTCATTGAGTTCTAGACATTGAATTAAGCATTCCCCAAGGATACAAAAAAATCTGAGAAATTAATATAAATACAGTTTTTGTTTTTGTTTGAGACAAAGTCTTGTTCTGTCACCCAGGCTGGAGTGCACTGGCATAATCTCTGCTCACTGCAACCTCCACCTCCTGAACTCAAACAATCCTCCCACCTCAGCCTCCTTAGTAACTGGCACTACAGGTACATGCCACCATGCTCAGCTGATGTTTGTATTTTTAGCAGAGACAAGGTCTTACTACTTTGTCCAGGATGGTCTTGAACTCCTGGGCTCAAGCAACCCACCCACCTCAGCCTCCCAGTGTTGGGATTACAGGTGTGAGCCACCACACCCAACCTAAATAAATGTTTTAAATTAAATATATGCTAAAACTTAGCTCGGTAGTTTTATTGTCATGAGTACATATTAAGCTTATAGTAAAAATTAAAATGCTCTTTAAAGAAAAAAGATGAAATTTTTCCTCTTAAATCCTACTTGAAAAAAATCTATGTGAACAATTACATACATAATGATTTAGTCCTAGAACATTTTATGAAGTTGCTCTATGTGTACATCTATTAGAGAATGTATTTTTCTGGAGATAGTTAATATATATTGAACATCAAATTTAAATTTTCCCTCCAATTTGATTCACCAAAATCATTGAGACAAATCATTTTTTAAAGTTCTATTAGTACTTAATATTTGTGTGTGTGCGTGCGTGTATGTGTGTGTGTGTGTGTGTGTGATTGATTGGCTGAGCCAAGGTCTCACTTTGTTCCCCAGGCTGGTCTCAAACTTCTGGCCTCAGGCAATACCTCAGCCTCCCAAAGTGCTGGGATTATAGGTATGAGCCACCACACCCAGACAAAAAATAAATATATCCTTATACATCAGAAATCACTCTTCCCTGATTACAATTTTTACATTGTCTAATTATGATAAGATACTGATTATCTTTTTAAAATTTTAATTATTATGGATGCTGAATGGTTGTTACGTGTTTATGGAGTAATGTAACATACTGGAATAAGCACACATTTTGCAATGATCAAATCAAAGTAATTGAGATATCCATCACTTGAACTATTTATCATATCTTTGTATTAGAAACATTCCAATTCCACTCTTTTGGCTATTTTGAAATATACACTAAATTATTGTTAACTATAGTCTTCCCATGTGATACTGAACACTAGATCTTATTCCTTCTATCTAACTGTATTCTTGTACTCGTTAACCAGCTCTTTTTTATTTTCCCTTCTCAGTACCCTTCCCAGCTTTCTGGTAACCATCATCATCTCTCTCTCTCTCCCCTACCTCTCTCTTTTTGAGTCAGGGTCTCATTTTGTTGCCCATGCTAGAGTGCAGTGGCACCACCATAGCTCACTGCAGCCTCTAACTCCTGGGCTCAAGTGATTCTCTCATCTCAGCCTCTTGAGCAGCTGGGACTACAGGCACATACCACAACACCCGGCTAATTTTTTTTTTTAATAATACAGACAGGATCTCACTATGCTGACCATGCTGGGATGGAACTCCTCGGCTCAAGCAATGTTCCTGCCTCAGTCTCCCAAAGTTCTGGGATAATTGGCATGAGCTACCACACCTGGCATCATTCTACTCTATCTCCGTAAGATCAATTTATTTTTAGCTCCCACATATGAGTGAGAACATGAGATAACTATCTTCCTGTGCCTGGCTTATTTCATATAACATAATAAAACTGGAGGCAGTTCTGTTCACATTGCTGCAAGTGACAGCATTTCATTCTTTTTTGTGGCTAAATAATATTCCATTGCATTTATGTGCCACGTTTTCTTTATCCATTCATCCAGTGATGGATACTTAGGTTGATTCCACATCTTTGGTATTGTCAATAGTGCTGCAATAAACATGCGTGTGCAGATATCTCTTCAATATGTTAATTTCCTTTCTTTTGGATATCTACCCAGAAATGGGATTGCTGGATCATAAGGATGTTCCTTATGTTGAAAATTATATTCTGTCTAGCATAAAGACTTAAATTTTATTACTGTCACTTAGCAGTTCCATTTTTATGAGGTAATATAACTTTTTTTTTTTGCAAATTTCTGTCTTTTTTACCTGCTATCAGCCTCTCTGTATCAGGAAGATGTGTGAACTGTCTTCTGTATTCTTCATTCCTGTCTTTATAGGTGGAACTTGAAATCTGCAACAATAAAAAGATTACATTTCTGTATAATTGTAATTATGGTGTCCTAGAAAATCATATCAAGTGGAATTTAAAATCATATGCTTTCTATGTAATACTGTTTATGTCCTTATATTAATAACCATATAAACATTTCAAAAACACCAAAAAGAAGCAAAGAAGACTGCTTCCAGAATGAGGAGATGAGTTTGGCAATCCCCTCTGCAAAAGCAAATGTAAAGCTAGGAAAAAAACTGTCAAAAATAATCATCTCAAACGACTGGAAACTGACCAAAGGCATACAATACAATCAACTGAGAAGTATTTATTCATGAAAATCCACTGAACGTAGGTAAAGATGGTGGAAGATTTTCTCTTTCTTCTTGAGTCTGTTTCAGTAATTTGTGTATTTTGTGGAAATCTGCCTAGTTCATCTAGGTTCTCTAAGGTATTTCAGATGCATATTAAACCCTAGTAACATCAACTGTCCTGGAACATTACCAAAACAGACCATATACTCAGCCGTACCTCAGCAAATTTAAGAGAACTGAAACCATACAATGTGTATTTTCTGACTATAATGAAATCAAACTAGAAATCAGTAATAGAAAAATAGCTCAAAATCTCCAAACACTTGGAAACTAAACAGCACACTTATAGATAATCCATCTAGAGTCAAAAGTCAAAAAAAGTCTCAAGGGAAATAAAATAACACATCGAACTGATTAAAATTAAAATATTGGCTGCACGTGGGGCTCATGCCTGTAATCCCAGCACTTTGGGAGGCTAAGGCAGGTGGATCACAAGGTCAGGAGTTTGAGACCATCCTGGCCAACGTGGTGAAACCCCGTATCTAATAAAAAAAAAAAAAAAAAAAGCTGAACATGGTGGCACGTGTCTGTAGTCTCAGCTACTTAGGAGGCTGAGGCAGGTGAATCACTTGAACCAGGGAGGCAGAGGTTGCAGTGAGCTGAGATGAAAGAGAGTGAGACTCCCTCTCAAAAAAAAAACAAAAAAAAAAGAAGAAGAAAGAAAATTAAAATTTTAATCTAATATATCAAAATTTGTGGGACACAGCTAAAAATGAAAGAGAAATTTATAGCACTAAATGCCCACATTAAAAAAAAAAAAGGAAAAGTCTAAAATAAATAATCTAAGCATCTAACTCAGGAACCTAGAAAAGAAAGAGTAAAATAAACCCAAAACAAGCAAAAGTAAATAAAAAAGAGCAGAAATTGGTGAAACTAAAACAAAAACAATGGAGAATATCAATAAACATAGAGCTGATTCTTTTTTTTTTTTTTGAGAAAAGCCTCACTCCATCACCCAGGCTGGAGTGCACTGGTGCAATCTTGGTTCACCACAGCCTCCCGAGTAGCTGAGACTACAGGCACACACCACCACACCCAGCGAATTTTTGTATTTTTAGTAGAGACAAGCTTTTACCATGATGTCCAGGCTGGTCTCAAACTCCTGACCTCGTGATCTGCTCACCTCAGCCTCCCAAACTGCTGGGATTACAGGCGTGAGCCACCACGCCTGACAAAGAGCTGATTCTTCAAACATAATAAAATTGATAAAACTACTAGCAAGACTGACAAAAAAGAGAGAAGACACAAACTACCAATATCAGGAATAAAACAGGGGTCAGCACTGATGACCCTACAGAACTCAAAAGGAAATAACAAAATACTATAAAGAACTCTACACATGTAATGAGGCCAGGCACAGTGTCTCACACCTGTAATCCCAGCATTTTCGGAAGCCAGTGTGGGTGGACACAAGGTCAGGAGATCAAGACCATCCTGCCAACATGGTGAAACTCCATCTCTACTAAAATACAAAAAATTAGCTAGGCATGGCATGCACCTGTAGTCCCAGCTACTCAGGAGGCTGAGGCAGGGGAATCACTTGAACCTGGGAGGCAGGAGTTGCAGTGAGCCAAGATCACACCACTACACTCCAGCTTGGTGACAGATTAAGACTCCATCTCAAAAAAAAAAAAAAAAATAGCTGGGATTACAGGTACATGCCTATAATCCTCAGCTACTTGAAAGGCTGAGGAAGGAGAATCACTTGAACCTGGGAGACAGAGGCTGCAGTGAGCTGAGATCAAGCCACTGTACTCCAGCCTGGACTCCATCTCAAAAAACAATCAAACAAACTAAAGAACTCTACACATGTAAATATGACAACTTAGAAAAAATAGATTATCAAAAAAACACAAACTACCACAAGTCACTACATAGAAAACACATAATCTGAACAGATCTACAAATTAAGGAACTTAAGTTCACAATTTAAAATTTCCCAAGAAAGAAATCTCCAGGCCCAGATAGTTTTACTGGAGAATTCTACAAAACACTTAAAACATTAATTCTATACAATCTCTTCAAAAAATAGAACAGAAGGGAGCACTTCCCAATTCATTTTATGAAGCTAGTATTATCCCGATACCAAACCAGATAAAGACATTACAAAAAATTGAAAATTACAGAATGTATATAGACATAAAAATCCTTAACAAAATATTACCAAATACAATTCAGCCATAAATTAAAATAATTATATAACATGACCAAGTGGAGTTTATTCCAGCATCCAAGGTGGTTCACTATTCAAAAATCAATCAGTGTAACCCAGCATATTAACATGCTTTTAAATATTATCACAATTTTATCACTTGATATAGGAATAATATTTAACAAAATTCAGCTTCCATTTGCGATAAAAACTCTTTAAAAAATAGGAATACAGACTGGGTGCGGTGGCTCACACCTGTAATCCCAGCACTTTGGGAGGCCAAAGTGGGCAGACCACCTGAGGTCAGTAGTTCAAGACCAGCCTGGCCAACTTGGTGAAACCCTGTCTCTACTAAAAAACACAAAAATTTCGTCATCTTCATAGCTTCTATCACTACCTGACACAGTGCCTGTTTATTTATTTACATGCTGTCCAGCTCCAATCCTGTTGTCAACTCCAGGGTGGTAGAGAGGCTGTCCTATTCACTTAGAATATTCAGGTGCATAGAAGACACTCAACTCAATAAATAAATAAGACCATTCCTTTTTAAATTCATGTATATCTACCTTTGCCAGTTATTTATTTATTTATTTTTGAGACAAAGCCTCACTCTGTTGCCAAGGCTGGAGTGTAGTGGTGCGATCTCGGCTCACTGCAACCTCCACCTCCCAGGTTCAAGCAATTCTTGTGCCTCAGCCTCCTGAGTAGCTAGGATTACAGGCACCTGCCACCACACCCAACTAATTTTTGTATTTTTAGTAGAGATGGAGTTTCACCACATTGGCAAGGCTGGTCTCAAACTCCTGACCTCAGGTGATTCACCTGCCTCAGCCTCCCAACATGCTGGGATTATAGGCGTAAACCACAGCATCCAGCTGCCACTTTTAAGATAATAATGTCTCTGTTCACATATTCTTCAATTTATCCTGTGAGAAGCTCATTGCAATTCCTGATTATGAAGCCCTTCATCTTGAGTGAAAATTGTTTATGCACATTCTCTTTGAATATTGCCTCTTGCTCATTCTCTGTGTTCATCTTCTAAATCTGCTACAAGATTCAAAATGAACTTCTCTACTATTCCCTTTACATCTTAAATTGTTCTCTTTCACACTTTCTCTCTTTATCTCTCAGTGATAAAATCTGAGGGATTTCCTGACGCATATATATCTTTCAGTTTACAGATCTCTCTTTAGTTGCCATTTCCCAAGCCCACTGCATTCTTTTTTTTTTTTTTTCTTAGACAGAGTGTCACTCTGTCGCCCAGGCTGGAGTGCAGTGGTGCAATCTCAGCTCACTGCAACTTCCTGCCCCCAGGGTTCAAGTGATTCTCCTGCCTCAGCCTCCTGAGTAGCTGGGACTAAAGGCGCCTGCTACTGCACCCTGCTAGCATTCTTTAATTACTATTATTTCAGTGACCATATTTTTCATTTCTAGAGTTGTATTTGATTTTTTTCAAATCTGCCTGGTGTATTTGAAAATTTCCTATCCATTTATAATACTTTTAATTTCTTCTATTGTCTTTACAATATTATATAACTTTTATAGTCTTTATTTGGTATAATAGTTATATTATCTGAAGTTTTGGAGGCTTAAATATGCTGTTCATTGAATCTCTTTCTGCTCACTTATAGAGAGCACTAAATCCAAGCCCCAAAACTTCATGAGAGATGGACCACAGTTAGAGATGGATTATAGTTATATATTCTCAGGAGAAACTACCCCCACTCCCACCCTAAGCCCGGGCTTAGACAGACAGGCTTCCTTATCTTCAACCTGTGAATGTAGCGGATATTTTTCCTAGTATGTATTTCACAGAGGGGTTAACTCTTCAAGAGCCTGGCTTTATAAAGAGTTCTCAGTTCCAACTCATACAAGTTCAATGTGTTATCTCCTATCTCCTATCACAGCATGGCCATTGAAGCTCAGCAAATTCCTCAGGGCAACCTCAGCGTTAGCTCACGTGCTTACAACTCTGGTAATCAGTTCCTTCTTTTTGTTTAAAGCCCGTAAGCATATTTCCCTTGCTGTTTCATGAGCCAAGACATGCGTTATTAAAAAAAATGTTTGAAACATTTTATCCAGCATTGCTAGGTACCTTTAGCAGAAGAGCATTTAAATTAAATAGTTCCCTTCCCATATTGCCATAAGGGCTGGTTTTTATTCCTCTATAATGAAACCTACAAATTTTAAAAGATACCTAAGTTTATCAAACAGTATCTAAGTATACTTAAATTTTTTTCAAATTGGAAAAAATGTTTTTATAATCCAACATACATTAAAAAATGAGTTTATTCTTTTTTATCAGCCACCAAAGTAAAAATCAGAAATATCCTTTATAAGCTTGAATAAGTGCAAGACATGTTGTTGTGGAGAACAACATGATCACAGGAAACCTATTCTCCCAAGTTGCCAAAGTATGTTACAAACATACTAATTAATTCTCTTGGGATTTTTTAAAATAGCACAACACCAATTAATCCTTACTATGCATATAT